ATTTCTAATATTTTAATTACTTCACAACCTTAATTATTCCAATTTCATTTTGAAAAGTATTAAAATATTTTTAATAAATTTGTTTTGTAAAGACATCTAATTAGAGAAGCATTTATCAGTCACGGTTTTTTTTTAAATATATTTTAAAATTATTTTATTTTCATAAATTTATTAATAATTAAAATGATTCATTTTTAATTTTTTATACATAATTTATCGAAAGTTTGCAATAAACATTAACTTTTACTTAAATACTTTCATTATATTTTTTTATAAGAATATAAAAATTAAGTTATTTTAACGTTTAAAACGTTTGTTACAATCATTTTTAAGTGAGTGTTGAGATTAACGTCCTTAGCATCAAAACGTTGATTTTCCGGCTTTTTTTTATGTGGTTTTTTTTTATAAAAAAAAAAAATTAGATTAAGTGTTAGTATTTATATTTTATGGGAGGATTGAACCTTATAGTTGAATGCATATCATCTAATGCTCGATGAATAACGTGGTCGTCACTTAACCATCTGCGGAATTGCTTTTTACGTGGTTTGAATACTTCCATTGTACCATACTCTGGATGAAAAGGACGTTTGTGTTACAGACTATAATTCAAGCAAGTTTGCTTGTGCAGATACAATCAGACAAATCTACCTTTTCCTTTTGATCGGGAAAATCATACAAATCTTATTGATTTCAGCATGGAGGAAAGCATAGCTGAACTGAGGGAAACCTTTAAATCTGGAGGAACTAGAGGTGTGGAATGGAGGAAGACCCAGTTGAAGGCTATTCTTCAGCTACTCCATGACCATGAGCAGACGATTTGTAAAGCTCTAAACGAAGATCTGGGAAAGCACCCCGTGGAAGTATACACCCACGACGTAAGAATTTGCATGGTTTGGAGTGAGGTGCCCAATTTCCGAGTTACCCTTTATATATTTTCATCTTGTGTTTGATTTCATTTCCCTGATGTAGACTGGAGTAGTGGAAAAATCAGCGAGGTATGCTTTGAGTTCTGTGGACAAATGGATGGTCCCTCAAAAGGTTCTCTCTGTTCCTTCCTTTCAAAAAAGTAACCCTTTTTTTAATTTTATTTTCGTTTCTTTTATCCCAGAAAGTCAGTTATAGTTATTACAAATGTTTAAACCCTGTTTGAGAATTTAAGTTTTTGAGATTGGTGGGATACCAACTCTGTTAAGCTCTTATATTGAAAAGAAAAGGAAGAAAAGCACCAAAATTTTCTTATTAGGGAATGATTTTAACTTTTGCAGGCTCACTTGCCGTTGGCTTTCTTTCCAGCAAGAGCGGAAGTGCAGCCTGAACCATTTGGTGTAGTTCTAATATTCTCATCTTGGAACTTCCCTATCGGTGAGTTCATTCTGCACTCTGCACTGCAGTGATAAGTTCTTAATTACACTGATACATCCCATGTGAAAGATGGATTGTAGAAATGAAGTCATTTGTTTATTAATCGTTGCTGCCTAAAATTCTTTTAATCCCCATGAGTTTTCTCCAAACCATTAGTTTTTATTGGCGAATTGGGAATCATGGATTACTGTATCGTCATTTCCTATTGAATACTTATGATTTCCTGCTTCTTGTAACTGGATGAGTTTTGTGGTGAACATTTACTAGAATAAATAGTAGAATTCTTTGTTGATACCCTGCATACGTAAGCAAGTGATCTTTCTGGATGCAGCACTGTCATTGGATCCGGTGATAGGAGCAATATCTGCAGGAAACACGGTGGTGCTTAAGCCTTCAGATCTTGCCCCAGCATGTGCAAAATTTCTCAGTTTAACCATTCCTCAATATTTGGACAATAAAGCAATTAAGGTCATTGGTGGTGGAGTAGATGTTTGTGAACGACTGCTTAACCTTAAATGGGACAAGATATTCTTCACAGGTATTAAGTTTTAGCATCTGGTATCATGTTTTATGATCTGAGTTTAGAAAAATGAATGGAAACAATGAGCAAAATTAAAGCATCTATTGTTTGTGTTGACAAATTTGGAGTTATACAGGAAGTCCAAGGGTGGGGCGCATTGTTATGACGGCAGCTGCAAGACATTTGACACCAGTGACTTTGGAGCTTGGTGGAAAATGCCCTGTTATCCTAGATAGATTATCCAGTCCATCAGATATGGAGGTTATTTTTACTTTCTGAGAAAACATATATTGGGAGATATGCCTGAATTAGGATTATAGGATATAACTTCATTCTGATTTGCTTGTGATTTTGGTGGCCTCAAGGTTGCTGCCAAAAGAATATTTGGGGGAAAGTGGGGGGCTTGCTCTGGACAGGCATGCATTGCGGTCGATTATGTGCTTGTGGAGGAGAAATTTGCCTCAACTCTGGTAATAAATGCCTATTGATTTCACTCAACAAATTTACCCTTTGATATAATGACTGATATTGAAATGCTGTTGAGGCCTAATGGTTTATAGAGTTTCATTCATGTAGATAGACTTTCTGTTATATTCCAGATTGACTTATTAAAGAAGACAATAGGGAAATTCTATGGTGAAAATCCAAAAAACTTGAAAAACATCTCCAGAATTGTCAACAAGTACCACTTTGAAAGAGTGCTCAATCTTCTGAAAGACCCTAATGTAGCCGCCTCGGTTGTTCATGGCGGGTTTGCAGACAAAGAAAAACTGTAATTCCTCTGCATCTTTTCCTAAACTCATTGGAATAGTATGTTGTATCTTGAAGGAAGTGGCAATAATCTCTTCATTTGCAACTTTTCTCTAGTTTCATTGAGCCAACAATCTTATTAGATCCTCCACTTGATTCTGAGGTCATGACTGAAGAAGTTTTCGGTCCTATTCTTCCAATAATCACGGTAAGTGAAAAAATGGAAAAATCTACACTTGTGTTTCCTGGATTGTTATCCTACATCTGTTTCTGCTCATGAAGGTTTGCTTTATACAGTTGAAAAAGATTGAAGACAGCATTGAATTTATCAACTCCAGGCCCAATCCACTTGCTATGTATGTTTTTACCAAGGATGAAGCATTCAAGAAAAAAATTTTATCAGAAACATCCTCAGGAAGCGTAACATTCAACGACATCTTGATTCATGTATGTATAGCTCTTCTCCTCAGACATCTTCTCCTACCTAACATAGCTAAACTCATTCTACTTTGTATTACAATGTTTTGCAGTTCATTTGTGATTCGCTACCATTTGGAGGCGTTGGTCAGAGCGGCTTTGGGAGGTACCATGGCAAGTACTCTTTTGATACATTCAGCCATGAAAAAGCAGTGCTGCAAAGAAGCTTTTTCCCCGAACTGGAGCCAAGGTATCCCCCATGGAATGGTTTCAAGCTTCTCTTCGTCAAATTACTTTACAGATTTGACTATTTTGGTCTCCTGCTCCTCATGCTTGGGTTGAAAAGATATCCCCAGGATGACCATAAAGCAGATTGACTAACCACCCCTAGCTCGAACAAAACCAAGAGGGATTATTTAGCGAATAAAAGAC